CTGGCTGGGGAATTCTGGGAGTTGAAGTCCACACATCTTAAAGTTCCCAGGGTTGAGAAACTGCTAGAGTGTCTTGCCCCTGAGTGGTCTCAAGTATTTGTCGGTCTATATAGATGGCAGGGATCAGAAGCTAACCCCGATTAGCCCTGGTTACAGCTTGGACTGGAGATTGAAATCCCAATTTAAAATCTACACTGGGAAGTCAGAAAAGCTCCCCTAAAGAATGCAAACCCAAACCCCTTTTGCATCATTGCAGGAAAACTACTCAGAAAGTCCTGTGAAGGAGTTCATCCGGGGGATCTTTCCGGTCCCCTATTGTGGTTCCCGCTTAGAAAAAGAAACTGAGGTTTTAGCCAGCACGGCTGCCACGAGCTCAAAGGAGTGACAACCGTGGTGTGCTGACGGGAGGGAGGCGTGGGCCCCTGAGCGGTGGCCGGCTGTCTGTGTCACGATGGTGAAAAACGGGATGAAAAGTCAGGGTAACTGAGGTTAGCCTTGTGCAACCGGGTGCTGTCAACATGTGCTGGGACTCTGGTTCTCAGCATTTGCAGCTGCACAGCTGGAGAGGCTGTTAAGCAGCCTAGGGAGCCAGGTTGGGGAAGGCTGCTCAGTGGAGTATGGGGAAAAAAAGCAGGTATGTTTTCTTAAGCTACTGATCTACACCCCACCCACCCCCGGCATCTGTCTTGGTGTGTTCCAAGGGTCAAGCAAGGCAAAGAAACTAGGACTGTACCAAACAGATGGTGGGGGGAGAATAACATTCCCGAAAGAATGGCCTGCTTAGGACCGGGGAGGGCTTCCTCTGATGTTTGAGGACCTCCCGTTATTTTCATTTCCTGGCAACTGTGATCATTTTGCTGGTTTGGCAAAATCCTCCTGCAAAAACTTTTGCCGGTTTTGGAAAATTATCTTGCAAAAACTTGGGTTGGAGGGCTCTGGTGGAACGTCCCAGAGGGTGGCTTAGGTGGGAGGGAGGAGAGGAAGTGGGCGTGGCCAGGAATGTGGGCGTGGCCGGGGGAAATCCCACATTTTAATATCAAATTGATTCCACCCATCGATCAACCTTCCCTGCTTTTTAATTGAAATGCTTCATTTCGGTTTTGTGCCAGCTCCCCCCATCTCCTTGCAAGCAAGAGGTTCAAATTGCCCTGGACCCCAAAAGTCCTCCTTGCCTCAAGGCCCCAAAGTAACTCCCAACAGGCCTACCTCACTAGGCTGTTGTGAGGATAGCATGAAGTCCTTTCAAATCCAGCTGCCTTCATACCAAAAGGATCTACGATGCAGTGTAGGGAGGAAACCAGCTGAAAAATATCAGAAAGTTTCCAGTTTTGTCGAGGGTTTTCTGGGCATTTTTTCCTGACTAGCTTTTAGATTTGCAGTGGGGCATCTGTAAATGGCCCGGAGGGTGGAAAATGGGAATATTACCATATTAAATCAAAAGTATCATAACGGTCCAAAATCTGAGGAGTCACACACATGGGCTTCTACTGACACTTTCCCAATTTGCCATTCTCCAGAGGTGTGGGACTACAAAGATGCTGTTGGAAGAGAACATGGGCTTGTAGTTCAACATCCGTGGAAAATGTCATATTGCTCATGGAAAGAGAGTAAAGTGAAGAGTTCACAGCAGGGGTGTCTGCAGAGTACGGTCAAAAGAGTCAAGATGGCGGCCATCCCACCGCCCCTAGTTCTCAACATAATGATTCTCTCTTCCCTTTGCCTTTAAATATTCAAATAAAATTACAAATATAAAAGTATAATGCTAAAAAAAAATACATTTAATACATTGTTTTTGGTGTTACCTTCCCCCCTAATTTTTTCTCCTTCCGGCAGGGTCCACCCCACAAGCCTCCAAGGGCACCCACATTCTGGTCCCCCTAGGCAGCTCCCTGCCCGGCGTGGGCTGGTCAGCGGAAGTGACCAGCACGGATGCCAACACGGTCTGTGTCCGGGTCTGCTCCTCGCCCAGAGCTGTGATCGGCAAGTACCAATTCAGCATCAAAACCCGAAGCAAGGCGGGCGAATACGCCGCCCCCTTTGACTCCAACAACGAGGTTTACATCATCTTCAACCCTTGGTGCAGCGGTAAGTCCTGGAAGGGGCTGAGAACAAGTCCAGAATTAGCCTTGCTCCTCTGGCCAGGTTGGGACTTCAGTTCCCAGAATTCCTTGGTTAGCGGGACTAGGGAATTCTGGGAGATGAATTCCCAACCTGTCTGGAAGGCTGATCTTATATTTGTGTGTTCGATCTATTCTCCATCTGCCTAACTCATCAACTAAAAAGTTGCACTCTCTTTTTTTAATGGGAGCACAATCATTTTGGATGGATGGATGGATGGATGGATGGATGGATGGATGGATGGATGGATGGATTCATTCAT